GCAGTGTTCCAATATCTCAGGGGTTGCTACAAAGAAGAGGGAGTCAAACTATTCTCCAAGGCACTTGAGGTAAAACAAGAAGCAGTGGGTGGAAACTAATCAAGAAGAGAAGCAACTTAGAACTGAGGAGAAATTTCCTGATAGTTAGAACAATTAATCAATGGAACAGCTTGCCTGCAGAAGTTGTGAATGCCGCAACACTGGAAGTCTTTAAGAAAATGTTGGATAGCCATTTGTCTGAAATGGTATAGGGTTTCCTGCCTAGGTAAGGGGTTGGACTAGAAGACTTCCAAGGTGTCTTCCAACTCTGCTATTGTATTGTATTGTTCCAGGGAGACTGAAATCTGTCAATCATAATTAAAGGGGTCAAGCCAGCTGAAAAAAAACGAGAGAGCTTAAGCCAATGGGAGAAGATGAAAATCCAGACAGAAGTAGGCAAGTTTCATGGTGAAGGACCAAGTTTGAAATTCACCAAGGAGATTAAAGAAATGGGTCTCAAATCTTAAATTGAACTCTTTCCAAAAGAAGGAACGATATGTAGGGGCCCAGCTGAAGGTACATGCTGAGCTGCTTTTGAAGAATTGATTGATTTGATTGAATGTGCTCCCCAATGTTCTTAAGGCAAAATCCTTTTGTAAAGTTTCCATGGTCTTATTAGGATTAGAGCAGTGGTCCTTAATTTGTGGCCTCGGACATCTGCGGTAGCTGCAATATTGTCACAGAAGTTCTGTGAAGGCTTGAAGAAACTTGGGGTTCACTTGGGGTTCCTTGGCCACAAAAGGTATTTTAAGGGTGAACAAAAAGTTGAGAACCAGTGGGTTAAAGTTTTCACTTTGACCTCTGCTGTCTGTATAAAAAAAATCCTGACTATACAGACTTAAGAGAGAACAATAAAGGTTTTAAAGATGTTGGTAAATTATCCAAAGAAAAGTTGGATGTAGTGAATACAGTTCAGCATTTAAAAACAAGAAAAATAAAACAATTAGAAAAATCTAATTCCTGAGTCTTTGACATCTACAGGAATCACTGTTCTGAGTAACAGTTGCCTTGATAACCACGAGGCACCATCCCCCATTTAATTTCATTAGGTTTTAGAGACTTTTATTTAAAAATAATTTAGACAGAAACTAGTGTCTTATTGATGTCTTCCAAGAAATATATATCTTTCAGAATTGATTAATATTTATTAACCTGTCGGAAAGATTTCTTAATTTAGAGAACAGAACAAAACCTGAAAACCAACTATTGTGGGGTGTGTGGGTTTTTTTGAAGCATAGATTTTCACTTTTGAAAAACTTTGTTTTCAAGCTTGGTTAATTAAAGCATTATAACAGATAATTATACCATTACTTATCACTAATACGTTTTTATTTTTATTTTGCTTCTGTTCTGCCACACAATCTTCATAGCAAAAAAGGAGCTTCTTTCACTGGAATAAATTGTACAATGCTTGCTGTTTTGATCACAACTATTTGAAGAACAATATTTAACCATTGTGTAAAGCACTTTAAAATATGAAAGAAAATAAATATTAATCAGCAATAGAGAAAATATGTAAAATGATTCTATTTCTTCAAAAAAAGTAAGGATTTAAATAGGATATCTCTTTTTATTCTTTACACACACAGTTGCTGTTTACTTTGTGACCCCATGGACCATAGCATTCCAGACCTCCCTATCCTACACTGTCTCTTAAAATTTGGCCAAATTCATGTTCATTGTGTTGAGGACATTACCTAACCTTCTCATCCTCTGCCATTTCCTCCTTTTGCCTTCAATCATTCTCAACATCTTGGGTCTTTTCCAGTGAGTCCTTTCTTCTGATTTGGTGGCCAAAGTATTTCAGTTTCAGTATCTGTCCTTCCCAAGAATAGGATTGATTTCCTTTAGGATTGATTGATTTGATCTCCTTGCAGTAAAAAAGTCTTCTCCAGCACCACAATTTGAAAGCATCAATTCTTCAGTTCCTTATGGTCCACCTTTCCCAGTCACATATTACTACTGGGAAAACCATAGCTTTAAATATATGTACCTTTATCATCAAGGGGACCAGAGGTGGGTTGCTACCAGTTTGCACAGATCCGAGTGAACCAGTAGTGGAAATTGGGACTGGGTCACTGAACTAGTAGGGACAGCAGGCTGGCCATGCCCCCAAACTGGTTCCCCAGTTGCTGCTGCCATTGCTAGCTTGTTTTTTAATCATTTTTTCATGTTCTGTGCATGCACAGAACAATTTATAGGCAACTGCGTATGCATGCACAGCGAACTGGCAGCAACCCACCCTGGAAGGGGACGTCTATGCTTTTTAATATGTTTCCATAGCTTTTCTCCCAAGGAGCAAGTGCCTTTTAATTTCATGGTTGCAGTCACTGTCTGCAGTGTTATTAGCTCCCCAAAATAAAATTCGTCACTGCTTCCATTTCTTCCCCTTCTATTTGTAAGGAAGTGATGAGTTGGAAAGCCTTGAACTTAGCTTTTTTAATGTTGAGTTTCAAGCCTATTTTTGAATCCTTCTCTTTCATCCTCATCAGTTCCTTTTCACTTTCTGCTATTAAGGTGATATTGTCTGCATATTTGAGGTTGTTGATATTTCCCTGAGCAATCTTAATTCTGATTTGTGATTCATCCAAGCCAGCATTTTGTATGATGTACTCTGCATGTAAGTTAAATAAGCAGTATGACTTACACATACAAGGACACAAGCAAATTATATCCAACAGGTATGTTATTTATGTCAAGTATTTTTATTTGATTAGATTGTCAACTTAAGATTCTATTATTTCTTGGACAGTTACATCCAAAGCAAATATTACTGTATAGTGCTTTGAGAACAGAATTACGTAGCTGTTGCGGAGGAACAAAAATATGTCAGATTTTCTTTTCTTTGTGTGTGTGTGCTATAGTCAAAAACTCCAAGCCTTCAGTAAGGAAATGAGTAGTTTATTGTGTGCTGATGTAGAAGGAAAGCTTTATTACATATTTCAAAAGCAGAAATACTTGAGTGGCAAGGGAATTTATGAGAAACGTTGGTAATTTCCCCCGGTTCTCAATTCATAGTTGTGACAGTTGCAGAGAAAACTACAAACAAGAGTCTTTATTTATATGTCATTCTCTTCTTGGCATCAATCTACATTTTTATTTTTTATTTTTGAATAAACACAAACATACAAAACACAACAAACACCACTAAAATATCTTCCCTTACAAATTGTAAGAAGTGTGTCAATTGGTTACAAAGAACTTTCGTGCATCCCTTCCACAGTCATCACCTACAATGCATATCAAGTTATATATATTAAATCAAATATATTTATATATATATTACTATGATCATACCTCAATCTTCATATGACTATAATTGTTTTTATGTCCATTTATATAAAACATTCCAAAATTTAAAGCAAAACTACATGATGGCATTCCGTTATCTATTTTCAATATCATCCAACAACATTACATCTTTATAACACTTTCTAAATAAAAATTAATTATGTTTAATACCAAGTTTCTAGACCTCCTTTCTTAATCACTGTTTACAACTTATATCCAAATTCCCTTTTATCATGTCAATATAAATATTACATTATTATCATTATCAATCTTTTATTTAACAATATTCGTCATAATTTCATTTTTTTTGGTCTTAGTTTAACTAAATTTTACTTACTCTTTTTTTAATATTATAAGCTTTCATACATAACAGAGTTTCTAAACTTCCTTTCATAATCACTATTTAGAATTTATACCAAATTTTCTCTTATCAAACCAATACATATGTGTACATTTTTATCATTATCAATTATTTATCTAACTATATCCATTATTACTTCATTTTTTACATAATGCTCTAATTTTAACTAAATTTGACTAATATTTTGTTATTAATTTTCATATGTCAACCTGTGTCTTTCCAGTAATAGTGCAGTCATATGTCTTTTGCCATTTGTGGAATTAGTCTTCTGTTTATTTCCTTAATCAAATTTGTGTGGACTTCTCTTCACAACTTGTTGCTTTTTACATATGTTGCAAAATCTTGAGACTCTCCATCAGCTTCTTTAATCAGATTATCTTTGGTTATCAATAGTGCTTTTGTCAAAGTTTCTCTCCTTGAATCCATAAATTCTTCTCTCCTTTTCTTCTTCTATATCTTGAAATCTGGAGTAGACCTCCTTTCCATCTATCTTCCCTTTCCATGTTCCACTCTTTCCATCTCCAACCACACTCAGTTCACTCTCCGTATCCACAATTATCTTGCCTCTTTGTTCATGTTTCCCTTGGTTTTTAGGACTCTTAACCTCCACTTTTTCCATTTGCTGGATATCTTCAATTTTTCTATCGAATTTCATTACAATCTATATTTTCCAATCTCTTCTCAATTTTCTCTGTTGTTTCTAATAATTTTTGAATTTCAAACATAATCTATTGTAATGTTACGGTTTCTTTTTGGTGTTGTGCCATTCTCCCAACTAGTAAATACTGCCACTCTAGTTTCAAAACAAGGTTTTGTTTTTACTTCTCTCCAGCTGCCAAAGAAGCATCCAAAGAGCACCTGTATAAACAACCCATGCTCTTCTCCTTATCTCTTCTGTAAACAAGCTGAAACCTTTGAAGTGCAAAGTCAAAATGATCAAAGAGAAAAAAAAGAAAGAAATATTTCCAGGACTCAACCTCCAACCTCCAAGTGGCAGTGTAACTTCTTTTCCCTCTGATGTTACTACCCTCTTTATATTCCTTTTATATCTTCTTCATTTTCCAGGCTTAAAAGAAAAAAAAAACTTAAATGAAGCAAAATTAAGACAAAAAACACATCCAAACCAATATTATAAACATAAAGAAAAAGATTTAATCCATAGGTAAAAAAAGAAATAGAAGAAGAAAAACCAATACTTTCACTTTAAAAAGTAGGGAATATTTGCAAAACTTCCATCCATAAAAGAAAATGAAAAAAGGATAACACACTGTCCAATATAGCTTAATTTCACCACTTATTTTCTTTTCTTTGCAAGTTTAATTTAACTTTGATTTTTTGGGTGCAGTCTCTTTTATAACAATAAAATTTCCTCACCAGATGGACACACTTTTTCTTTCCTCTTTCCTCCCATTGCGGAGCTGTCCCAACTTCAGCAGCTTTTGGCTGCGCTTCTGTCGCCGTCAAGAAGAGATTCTCTTGGATCAATCAGAGACTTTGCGATGTTCTTAAGATCAGCAAGACGTACTCTTCCCTGTCACTGTCTCTTTGGGATGGTTTAGGTCCAAAAGGACTGTCCAGCAGCAAAAGTATTGATGTTGTACCGTTACGATGTCAGCTCCTCTCTCCAAATCTACATATCTTTTGATGCTAGCTAAAGCTTCTGAGGCTAAAAACTTTATATTGAAATAGTTATCACAGTTCCAATACTAATTCTAGATTCTAAAGCAGGAGTGTTAAACTCAAATTGTCACATGAGATATCAGGACTTTTCCCCCCTCCACTAAACCAGGCATGGGCATGGCCAGCACATGATGTGTCATGATTTTGACAGTCCTGTTCTAAAGAACCTGTAATATATGGATTTTTTTTAATTCTTTCATTCAATCATGACCAGTTCTGAGACTAGCTGCATAATTCCCTTCACTTTTCTTAGCAAGGCTTTTCAGAAGTGGTTTGCCATTTCCTTGTTCCAGGGCTGAGAGACTGCCTAAGATCATCTTGCTGCCTTTGTGGGACTAGAATTTACAGTCTCCTGGTTTCTAGCTTATGGGGCTTAACCACTATACCAAACTGGCTCTCTATATAGTCTATAATGCTTGGCAAATACTAAAGTGACATTTTTCTCATGCATGAGTAATGACCGTATTCAGGACCAGAAAACAGTTTTATACCGTCTTTTTAGAAAATTCTATATTCATAAACATTTTTAACAATATGCTTCCAAATGTGTGAAATCAAGTTACTATCAGAATATTGTTAATTAAAATGCATCATTTTGATGTATAAATTATAGTCTTTTTTACATAATGTTTTCTGACCATGGTTGCTAATGAAAATTGTTTTAAAAATTGAAAAAGCACTTGAAGTGAGCTTGTTAAAATGGAAAAAGTACTAAAATATAAATCAGTTCTGTATGGGTGATGAGGGTAATCTGTAAATCAACAAATGAGATAATTTTCACCAAATAGAATTCCTTTTGGAGCAACTTTTATAAATAAACAAATATTAAACAAAATGCACATTTGATTACTACAGAAATAATATAACAAATGGTTAAACAATTTTAAATTCAGAACTAACTTCTGCCTAATACTTAAGGATCAATGCTTGTATATCTCATTTTACAGGAGAATCAAGACCAATTATTTCATAGTCTCTCTCGCCTTTGCTGACTTGCTAGTATCTGTTTTGGTGATGCCATTTGGTGCAATTGAACTGGTTCAAGATAACTGGATTTATGGAAGGATGTTCTGTTTGGTTCGCACTTCTCTTGATGTCCTTCTCACTACTGCATCAATTCTTCATCTGTGCTGTATCTCATTAGACAGGTAGGAGCAAAGGAATGTCTATTTTGTTTTGCACTGGTTCCTTACAATCTATACTTTTCAGTGAAATGCAAATTTAAGAGCAGGCTGTGGAGAACTATTCTATATGCAGTGCTTACTCTATGCTTCACCTCTCTTCTTTAATGGGTGTTAATTCTGCATAAGGAGTAAAATGTATAAGCTGGATACCCCACAATTGGCTAGAGGAAATTTTGTGTTCTTTTTTTGTTTTTGAGGAAAGTTTGAGAGTATTGATCATTATAGAAGCTCAGAATACCTGGCATACCTTTAAAGTTCCCAACCCTCAAAGCCATCATGCTGATTATTCCCAGGGTTTTATGTGGGTACTTACTTTTTGGGCTCTTAAAACATTCTGATGTCCGAAACATTAAAAAGCCCAACATGTTTGTTCTTGTTTATTACAAGTAATATCACAAGGTACTAGCTCTGCTCTTAATAGCCCCAGGCAGATAGTACCTTTTCCAACTAGCCAATGTTATTTAAGACATAACCTTTCATGAACTGTAGCTCTCCTCATTAGAGCTGTCATTGCTTAATGCAGAAAAATATTGCCTTAATTTTAGGATTTTATGACTACAGAAAGGGATTGTGCTTTTTATGTTGTTTCGTGTATTATTGTCACACATCCTTGGCTGCAATAAAAGCAAACTTCAGATGACTTTCAAAATATTATACTGCATACTGTGTGCTTGTCCATATTGCACTTAGTCACATTACGACAATAAACAAAAGAGTTTCAATTGAAGGGATAATATGGGGGCAGTAGCACCTCCATGAGAGGAAGACATTTCTCATTCTTTCTTCAAGAATACCCAGACTGCCAATCAGTTCTCCACCAGGCTTGATATCCTATATCATAGGAAACAGACTTAGAAGGAATAGCCATTCATCCAAGAGTGGGTTTCCTTCTCCAAGGACTAATTTCAAGCCATCTTTGCATTATCAAAAGCTGCTAAATGGAAAAGTGATAAGTGCAATAGCCTTGAATACCGACAAATCATTTTTATGAAAAAGGAGACATTCAGGCTTAAATCCTGAAGGCAAGTGCTGAATTTTGATTAACAACAGAAAAGCGATCCATTATTCACATTGGGGTTAGGCTCCAGAATCTAAATGGCTCCTTCCAACTTGATGCTTCTATGATTTTATGATGCTGGAAAATGTGGGTTAAATACTTCACCTGGGAGAAGATACAGCATGGCATACCTGAAGGCATGTCACTGATAGTAACCACTCCATTCCCCAAAGAAAATTAGAAATTGGTGACCAATTTTAAGACTAAGCTTAAAATGTCCTGCCAGATCTCCTGCTCTTCTTGCTCTCTTTTGGTCCTGCCTCACTGCCCTAGGCAAGTGATACTTGTGAAAGTAGTCTGCGACAATGACTCTGTTGCTTGTGTCTTAGCAGGAGCTGACAAGCCATTGTAACTAATTGTCAAACCCATCTTAAGCACTGAGCTATGTAATTGAAATTCACAGTACCAGGTTGCCAAACACAGTGATTTATTTCTCCAGAATTGTGACTGGATGCTTGAGAATGTCAGTTTCTTCAGTGGGATTTATCTGCTTTGTATATGTCAAGGGTTTTCTATTATGGGTTTTGTGCTCTTTGCACGAAATGTGTATGTATAACTGCTGCACTCTGTCCTCCAATTACAATAGAACTGAAAATGATATTATTCCCCAAATATTATACACAGGCACATAAAGTTGTTCTTGTTGTCAGTTGTGAAGTTGCATCTGATCCATCGTGACCCCATGGACAACGTTCCTCCAGGCCTTCCTGTCCTCTACCATCCTCTGGAGTCCATTTAAGCTCACGGCGACTGCTTCAGTGACTCTATCTAGCCACCTCGTTCTCTGTCGTTTTCTCCTTCTTTTGCCCTGAATCTTTCCCAGCATTAGGCTCTTCTCCAGTGAGTCCTTCCTTCTCATTAAGTGGCCAAAGCTTCATCTTCAGGATTTGGCCTTCTAAAGAGCAGTCAGGGTTGCTCTCCTCTAGGACTGACTGGTTTGATCGCCTTGTAGTCCA